GATTTTAGCAAAGTTCATCTCTAGCTTTATGTGTTCTCCAGCTCATCTCTAAAATTCTTTATATGCTCCTTCAAAAGATTGTCTGACAGTAAACTAGAGCTGAAGAACCTTACAGTTTTTGACATCTCCACTTTTTCTGCTGAAAGGCTATCAGATACGTCTTCACTACCTTCATCATCCTTCTCTGAACTTGCAGCAGCTTCCTTCATGTATCTGCAAAGGATGAAGTACCCAGGGACAGCATTACAGGCAGCGGAAGCAAGGAACACTCATGTGTTTCCTAAAAAATATATTTTGAAGTTATTCTTCCAAAATTTAAGTTAAATAGCCAGGTTCTCACTTGATGGTTCCACTATGCCGAAGTGATGACTGCAATGCTCGTCTAGAGTTCCTTATCCAAGGGTGAGAGAGCAGTGTCTTTGCATCAGGCCTTTTCCTGGAATCCTATAATATGCAAGATACAAATCAGATGTAAATACCTCTATTCGAAGTGCCTAGGTTCCGATACAGAGGTTAAAAACTACTGCACAAAACTATACCTTCTTGAAGCACTGTCGTAGGAAGTCTGTAATATCTGGAGAAAGACTATCGGGAATAGGAGGGTTATCATCCTGAAACGAAACCAGAAAGAGGCAATAGTTTGTCACTTCTGGCTAATAGCTTTGGCAAAAAAAAATTTAGGAGAGAAGTGATTTACAAAAAGAATAGGAAAAAAAGACACCTAAATTTAATTGACTTAAAGGAAACTCGTTAAGTGTTGGCAAAACCTGAACAATTCGAAAGAGGGCTGGCATGGGTTGCAGATCATAGTAAGGAGGTACACAAGTAAGAAGTTCGATAACAGTACATCCAACGCTCCAAATGTCAGACGCGGCACAAACTCCAGACATTTCAATAACCTGAAACAGAAATCGGGTATCCGTCGATATGCTCATAATTAGGTAAAAGTTCTCTTAAGGAGAAAACAATATGCATCTATCAAAACAACAACAAAGTTTACTTTCACTAATTACATACAAAAAAAGATAAGCTACACAGAACATGGTGATGGAAACAGATATACATATATCATCAAAAATGTACCTCAGGAGCCATCCAGTAAGGAGTTCCAACCACTGAGTGAGTGTTAACATCAGCCTCGTTTAGTTTAGTGGCAACTCCAAAGTCAGCAAGCTTGACAAGACCCTGAAGTGCAAAATAGTCAAGTATCTATCTAAGGACGTATAGCCTAGAAGAATTGTATGCATCCTAGAATACAACAGATCTTGAAACAAACTGAGAATAACTAATAAAATCCATAGGGTACCAGAAAACACACCTCCTTTGTCGTCAAAATATTTGCACCCTTGATATCACGGTGTATGACACCTTGCTCGTGTAGATATACTAAACCTTCCAAGACCTATATCCACTAATTAGTACACAATGCATAAAGAGGCTTAACTCAGCTTAAAAAATATACACAGACCTGAGCAATGTAAACAGCCACCAACGATTCTGGGAACGGTCCAAATTTATTTGGTTTAATAATGTTTGCAAGAGAGCCATTCTCAACGTACCTGCAAACACATGATTGAACTTGAGTTTCCAGGGGATAGTCCAGAGTGGACCAAAATAAACACAAAAAGCAACTCACTCCAGAATAATGTGAAGGTGAGTCTTAGTCTTCGACGATCCAAGATACTTCACAATGTTTTTATGATTCAAGTTCTGCAATGAAATATCATCTTAGAAGACTGCATAGAACAAAATACATATGCATACCAGTCCTACTCAATGTTAAAGCTAAAGACTTCGTAATAGAAAAACAAAAAAAACTACCTTTAACAGATCAATTTCTTGCTGGGGAAAATCATCCACATGTAACATCACCAGTAATCAGTCAGTATAGCAGTGGTAAGGAGAATTCAAGACCACATTTGGTCCATTAAGGCTAAAACAAATAACGAAGATACATTAAAAAAAAAAAATAACAAACCATGATAGTGTTAAGATCCTCTTGAACAATATTCTCCAATGAGACTTGTTTAATAGCCACAAAGTCTCCATTTTCCAAGTCTAAACCTTTATAAACACGACCATAAGCACCTTTACCAATTTCATCTCCCAGCATCTGTGCTCAAAATCAAAAACCAACCTTGGAGTTAAATTAAACGAGAAAATTGCGTAAAGCACTAGACTTTAAGCTTGAATCAACGAAAAGGAACAAAATTTCGTAATTCCACAGAGATTTAGCGCTTCAATTTCAAATTACTAGAGAGCTAAAAACAAAAACCCAAATCCCAGAAATTGCGGAAGAAGAAGAAAGCATTACGTATTTGTTGTCGAGAGTCTTTGATTTGTGGAACTGAGATGACGTCATTTGCCGCGCCATCTCTTCTCTTTTGCTTCTTCTTCTACCTCCTCAACAATTACTCCTCAACGAAAATCGATCCATTAACGAAAGGATAAAAAACTCAGAAATGAAATTAAGAATTTAGGGTTTAATAATTTTGATAAAAATCGAAAGGATTCAGTAGATTCAGATATTCAGATGCCAGCCATAATACAGAAGTGAAAAAATTTGGCAATTTAAT